TCAAATGAGCCTGAAAGAATACTGGTTTCATGGCCCAGTTCTGTTTTGCTGAGTTAGTTCTTGTCTGTTCACCTTTGTCACTCTTTCACTGTGCAACTTTGGGATAAAGTTTTTCCTGAGTCTTTGGTCTCAAGTTATTTAAAAAAAAAAAAAGAGGGCTGGGGATATGACTCAAGTAGTAGCATGTTTGCCTGGCATGCGTGAGGCACTGGGTTCGATCCTCAGCACCACATAAAAATAAAATAAAGATATTGTGTCCACCTAAAGCTAAAAAATAAATATTAAAAAAAGAATCAAATATCATCATTAGCATGAACTTGAGAGGATTCACCTTAAGTGTTCATTATATGCCAACCACTCTAGTGGCTCACAAATTTTAACTCATATCATTCTCTAAACCTCAATAAGGTGGTAACTATCACTATTTCTTCTTTGTAGGTGAGAGGAAGGTGATGCAGTGAGAGGATAGGTCACTTGTCCAAAAGCACATGGTCAAAATGAGTCCAAGTGGTCTAACCTGGCTCTTCAGAAGCCCTTGTTTATCCCCAGCTAGCTGGGCTGGCAACCTGAGCTGGGTTCACAAGAGTTGGCTACATCAATAACTAAGAGAATGGCGAAAGAAGCACGCAACACACAAAATACCTTTTGCTTGCAGGAATCAGAGTCCATTGGAAAGAAAGAGAGTACACCTGAAACCATCCTGTTTATTGAGGAGAAAGACATTCAAGAAAGTTCAACCCAAATAAGGCAAGGGATTAGGTTTCAGGGGGTTGTTTGGTGATGTCTTAGGGTCAGCAGATTGACTGAAATCTTGCATGGCCACACCCTTCTCAGGTGCTGTGTGGGATCAAAGGCAGAGCGAGGGAAATGGACACATACATTGCAAAGCCCAGTCAGAGCAGTACGCCAGTCCAGTCCCTTCATGTGTTCTAATGCTCATAGCTCATGCACACAGCCCATGGCTGGCTAGCGACACTTGCTACTGCCTCCCTTAGAAGAAGTTGGGTATAACTTGCCTTAGAAATGCAGGATTGAGAAAACTTCTTTTATACAAACTATTATGTTGCCTATCTGTAACTCCCTCAAAAGTCAATTTTATTAATTAAAGCAACCTAAAGCTAAACAGACTCCTGCTGAAATGCAGCTGTCTCCAGTCTTCTCTGGGTTTCATATAAGTTCAATTAAATCTTGGTGATTCTACATACCCGTGATAGTCAGAAAACTTTCCAAAGTCCTTGTGATATTCTTTGGCTGAGAGGCAGAACAGCACTTCCTCCCACTCAAAAAACTTTCTCAGATTCACAAGAACTCTACATGAAAACTGAAATGCAATTGCAGTAGTCTCCTCTTACCTGCAATTTTGTTTCCATGATTGCAATTATCCTCAGTCAACCGTGGCTCAGAAATACTAAATGAAAAATTTCAGAAATAAACAACTCATAAATTTTAAATTGTGTGCCTTTCTCAGTAGTGTGATGTAATCATGAATCATCCCTTGTCCAGCTTATCTATGTATTATATACTACCCTCCCTTTAGTTATTTAGTAGTCTTCTGATTATCAGATCAACTGTAGCAGCATCACAGAGCTTGTGTTCAAATAACCCTTATTTTACTTAATAATGGCTACAAAAGTGCAAGAGCAGAGATAGTGGCATTTTTTATAGTATATTTTCTAATTTTATTATTATTATTCTTATTATTCTCATACTGAGCCTAATTTATAATTAAACTTTATCATCAGTCTCTTATGTATAAAAAAACCCCATAGTATATAGATGGTTTGTTATAATTTTGGTTTCATGCATCCACTCATGGTCTCAATATGTATCCTCCATGGGTAAAGGGGGGGCTGTTGAATAAATTCTGAGAACTAAAAGTGTCAGAGTTTAATATCCTTTCCAGGCCAGTCACTCAATTTCTTAATGTATAAAGTCTAAAAGTAAGAAGTGTCCCTAGTAGGCAAGCCAGTCATATTGCCAATCCAAACTTGAAAATGCAACATATAGAACAAAACACCTTCCCATGCCCAAAGCCTGGCCCCACTATTTGGCAGAAAGATGACTTATAGGAAGTTATTTAACTCTGTAAGCACCAGTTTCACTTCCTCTCAGATGGGGATATTAGAACCTTCTTCATATGCAAATAAATGCTTGGTGTACCACCAGGAACACACTAAGCACTCAATAAATGCAGTTCTTATGGCTAAGCCCATCTCATCTTTGCTCAAATGCTTTCAGTGATGAGGAGGAAACTCTCAGAAAATGAATTTTTGGAAAGCTCTAGCTCAAGAAATCTTAGAATTCTAGATATGAGAGACCAATTAGTCCAATCTCATTAGTTCAGAGGCAAGAAATTTGAGGCACAGAAAGAGTAAATGATTCATTCAAGGACACAAGGACACACTGCCAGTGAAGGGCAGGATGAACGCCAGAGGATTTCAGTGCATCTGATGCCTAGTTCGGTATTTTTTCTTTCTTAGATTTTGCCCAAGTCTGCCCTGATGTCATTTTTCTCTGTAGGTCTAAATTTTTCCCTGTCAGGGTTCCTGGCAGTATATATTGGATGCTTTAAAAAACCTGAGTGTTGAAATGAGAGTGCATATAATCCATTATCAGATTGTAGCAAAGTCTAGAATTGTTTATTTCTTGACACTTGTGAGTATACCACAGATATGTTAGAGAACCTGAAGATTACCCTTTGTGAACATGGCATGGCTCTTCTATTTGTTATGTATCTTTTTCAAGAGGTCCCAAAACACAATTATCCATATTTTTTTATTGGCCATGTTAGCTTTTCATTGCTGTGGCAAATATCTGAGAAAATCAACTTAGAGGAGGAAAGATCTGTTTTGGCTCAGGGTTTTAGAAGTTTCTGTCCATGGTCAGCCAGTTCCATTGCTTTGGATCTGAGGTGAGGCAGAACAACATGGTGGAAAGGTATGGTGGAGCAAAGCTTATCACCTCTTGGCAGTTGGGAAGCAGAGAGTGAGAGAGGAAGGGCTGGGGATGAGATATACCCTTCCAGCACATGCCCCTGAGACCTATTTCCCCCAACTAAGCCTCACCTCTTACAGTTTCCACCATTTCCCAATAATGACATCAAATTATTAATCCATCAATGAGTTAATCCCTGATGAAGTCAGAACCCTATTTTCCAAAAGTCCCACCTCTAAACATTATTGCATTGGGGACATGATTTTTAGGGGGACCATTCATATCTTGTTACAATATGTTATTCATCCTTTGACCTATTTGTTTCTCAAAATGAGTCCCTACTCTTTGCTGGATAAAATATTGTAATACACATACAAAAATACATGCTCTGCACCCTCTAGATGTTAATGGAACAGTGAGGAAGAGATTCATAAACAATGATAACTGGGTAGATATACAATGGAGAAAAGATGGGTGTAAGTTCTATGGAAGCAGATAGAAATCTGTCTTTGGTGGGGTGTAGGTTGGAGTACAAGTGGGCTCAGTAAAGGAGGCAATGGAGGAGATGATCTGTGCTCACACAGAAGTAAATGGTGCTAATACTGTGGCAGATACTGTCTAGTTGTTCAAGAACCTATTCCCCCACCCCGACTTCATCCTCCTGAGCACAGCAACTCTCTTTGCGGTCAGTGTGCCAAGTGACTTGAGTTTTAGCAAATGAATTCAGGGCAGAAGTAACACATGCTACTTCAAGCCTGATCCATGAATTATATAACCCCTGAAAAGCAATGGTACCAACCAACAGTGGACTTAAACCTCCAAAACCATGAGCCAAAATAAATCATTTCTCTTTTTTAAGTTGATTATCTCAGGAATTTTGTTATAGTAATGAAAATCTGACTAACAATGGTGGAGCCATATGATGAAAACACATGTTTCTATCAGCATCAAAACATGTATTTTGGGGTTTGCTTATCAAAGCCTGTTTTAGGCTTTGCGTTTGTAAGTATTAAGCTTCTATGATTGAACCATTCTATGGGGGTTAAATTTTTGTTTTTGAAGTAGTCCATCTTATTTATAATATTGCAATTACTAAATCTAGTCATTTGAATTTATTTACTCTATATTGAAACAAATTAAACTAGTCAAGATAGTCTGAAAAAGATACGGTCAGTAATCCAGGCTTCTTTGTTGTCTAACCAATGAATTAATTGCAAGCTAAACTCAAAATATGTTCCTTTCCTGGAAAATTCCATTTGAGATATATTTGGACCTTTATCCTTAAAGAAATCATTTTAGCCTGGATTGAAATGTTCCTGTTTCTCCTAGATAACCTAGCTTACTCTACAGCCTCTTGCTGCTGCTAAAAACCTACAGTTTGCTTTTTTTTCCTTTTTTTTCTTAGAAAAAAGAAAGGAAAGCAACTTTGTTCCCTGCAAAGAAAAGGGAAAGAGGACTGACAGCTGGTTATGTGTGTGGAAAAGACAAAGAAGGAAGAGTGTTTTGTCTCTGTCTGTGATATTTCAGGGCTTTTCCTCCAGTTAGCCAGACTTTACATGTCTCTAACTTGATCTTAATCAGATCACATCATATGTCCTTATATTTTCTTTGTCACTTTTGACAGTTCTACCACAGAATGACCTATGGAACTTTTCTTTTTTTCAACACAGTTAAAAAGTAATAAACTGTAGAATTTAAAAGGAAAAAAAGAGAACAATGTCTGGATATTCACATTTCTTGAGTACCTATGTAGGAAATACATTTTCTAATCATTAACTTATGCATTTGTATTGGTTACCTATTGCTGCATAACAAATTGCTCCAAAATTGTGCTAACAACGTCAATCATGTATTATCTAGTAAGGTTTCTGAGGGGTAGGAATGTGGGAATGACTTAGTTGGACAGTTCTAGCTCGGGATCTCTAAGAGGTTGTAGTCAAGATGTTGGCTGGGACTGAAGGTCGGACTGGGAAGCCTCACTCACAGAGCTGTTGGCTGGAGGCCTTAGTTCCTCATTAGAAGGGCCTTCTCACAAGGCTGCTCACATGTCAATTCTCTTTGTCTAGAGCAAGAGATTCAAGAAAGAATGAGTGAAGAATAAAGAAAATAACATCACCAGAGTAGCTGTCATGAACTTAAGCAAGTGATACTAAAGGTCAGCTTGGAGACGTTTTCCAGCTCTTTTCCTACTGTAGACAATAATATCAGCCAATCAGTTATTTTTTCCCAATCAATTGCTTACTATATCTCAGATAATACAAATTGGAAAAATATCATATATGAAATATCTAGCTGAGGGCATATCGGCTCAGTGTTTTCCATCTGTTATTTCTCATTCATAAAAATAATATACACATTTAGACATGTTTCACAATGTGTTTTTATGAGCATCAAAGAGAACTTCATGAAAGCAAAGATTTACATTTTTTCCCCACAAATTTTGTTTTTTGGCCAACATGCTTACTGATAAGTTGAAGGTAGACTAAGAAGTAGAAGGCAAATTTTAAAAATTTGATATGAATTTCATGACATTATTACATTGACTCATAATAATAGTGATATTATCTAAACATTTACATACTCATTGTGGGATTGACTAATTCATGGGATTCCCTTTAAACTACTCCCTCTGAAAAATAGGTAAATGGAGGTGACCTTGAGTAACCTTCAGTGCTCTGACATATGCCAACTCTGACCTCAAAGAAGCAATGGTTCTGGGGGCTGAGGTAGAACAGGCTGGTTGCAGACACAGACAGAAATGGAAGGGCCCTTTACCATGAATTAGTCCAACTTCTCCATTTTGCATTGTAGAGACTGAAGCTTAAAAAATGAAAGGGACCTGACTCTGGGTCACCCAGTGGCTGATGGCAGATATGAGATTGCAACCCAGATCTCCTGATCCCTAGCCTGACTTCTCTGGAGTCCATTTTACCTCTTGCAGCAGCAGATACCAAGAGTATCTATTGAGTAGGAACAATGCCCTGTTTTCAGAGGAAAAGGAAGTTAGTTGTTAGACTCTGCTTTACTCTTATTCTCTGCGATTGCTATCCAAACTTTTTGTGGAATGTAATGACAGCCAATATATTTAAAGACTTACTATTGCTAGGAACTATTCTCCAACCCATTTAATTCTTACAAAAACCCTACAAGGTTGCTATTAATATTCTTCTTCTTTTACAGCCAAGGAATGTAGGCAATGAGAGGTTATGTAACTCCCTCATAGTTGCATAGGTAATAAGGGTTAACCATGGTGTTCAGGTCTTGGCAATCTGGTTCTAGAGCTCGTCCTCCTCATCTGTAGGTTATAATGAGTTTGCAATTCTCCTGTTCACCAACAGTGTTTTCCCTCCTGAATTTAGGCTATTTCTGTTGGGATTCTCAGCTTATGTTACACCTGGAATCACCCTGTGTTCCTAGTTAGTCTTAAGAACTCACAGTGGTCCAACATCTTCCAGAAAGGTGATGAGGACAATACTTTTGCTCCTAGATCCTTACAATATTCTTCATTCAACAATTTTCCATCTCTCACTTTATACATAGACGACTGACACCGTATGGCAATAGCTATGCATGTCCTTGCTCCTAGAAAACAGAGCCTTGGATCCTGGTCCCTATTCAGCCACCAGCTTGCCCAGTGACTATGGAAACTATGTCAAACCACCTGAGATTTTAAGCCTGTGAAAAGAAGTGTTGGCTATTCTGAAGACCCTAGTGAAACCACCGATTCAAGCAAGGTTTCTCAATGTACAATAATTCCTTTGGTCAGATGTCGAGGAATAGGCCGTTTGTGTGCTTCCAATCCATCACCCCCACAGAAGGCTCACAACATACAGACAGAAATCGACCTTTCCTCCTGAGAGACCCAAGGACACGCCCTTCACCAGGAAGTCAAATTGAGTGTCATTAACCAGGACACAACTGATGGGTCTCTTGATGCAATACAATGCAAAATGCACAGCATCATCTGTGAGGTTTCTCCTTTTCTTCCCCAGTAGCCTTATTGTGATATAGTTCACAAGTTACCCATGTAAACCATATAATTTCATTTTTTTGTACTCACAGAGTTGTGTAATCAAAATCAGTCTAATTTGGGACATCTTCATCACCCCACACCCATTTGCAGTCACTCACTTGTCCTCTTCCTGCCTTCAGACTTAGGCAACCAATAGTCCACTGTCTTTGCCTATCGATTTGCTTATTGCTGACATTTCATATAAATGGAATCAGACAACATGTGGTCCTTTGTGGCGAGCTTCTTTCATCTATTATATTTCCAAAGTTCATCCATGTATCAGCACTTCATTCCCTTTTAATAGTATTCTGCTTATGAGATTAAATAAAACTGTAATTATCCATCAGTTAATAGACACACGAGTTGTTTCCACTTTTTGGATATTTTAAGGATGTGGCTTTGAACGCTTGTGTACATATTTTTATTTTGACACGTGTTTTAATTTTTCTTGGGTGTATATATTGAATTGATGGATAATGTGAAAATTCTATGTTTATATTTTGATGAACTGCCAGACTGTTTTCTAAAGCCACTGCATTATCTTATATTCCCATCAGCAATGTAAGAAAGTATTAAATTTTCTTGTCAATCATGTTTAATCTGGTTAATGAAACCTTTAGTCCCAATTTTCAGTTTATAGAAAACATTGACAGAGAAAGAAGCTAATGGACACCAGGAGGAAGCAGTTAGAACCAGAATGCAGAGCAGGCTATAACCCACCTGATCTCTTCAAGTACTCAGTAAGCCAATATACTAAAAAACCAGGGGGATGGTTAATGGCGACTATTTTAGATTAAATGATACTAAATAATCTAAAGTGTAAATGTTAATTGGATTGTGGTTAGGACATAACTGTTTTAAAGGATGTTTTAGGGTCAAGTGGATATATTTGAATATACATGGAATAGTAGATGGTATTAGAGAACTTTTACAATTTTCTTAGATATGATATTAGAATTGTGGTTAAATAGGAGAAAGGTCTTATTTTGAAGATATATAACTGAATTATTTAGGGGATATAAATGTCACGCTATCTGCAGCTTGCTTTCAAGGTGTACCTTAATATCACACACATGCAGAATAATAAAGTTAGATGGTAGCCATTGGTGTTCTGATTGAGCTGAGTATTCAGAACATTCTATTCCTGTAGTTTCTCTCACTGTTGACACTTTTCATAATAAAACGTAGGAAAGAAAAGAGATTACAAGCTCCATGATTAATAATTTTGTTCCCCCAACTAGACTGCAAACCCCTGTAGGTTAAGTCCCCAATTTTAACCTCTGTAGCCCCAGTACCAAGGCCAGTGCCTAGAAACTTCCAGGTTTCATGTGCTAATGCCTCAACACAGGTGCCCCATCATTAACCAAAGGTGATACAGAAACTCACACAGACCAGCAATTCCAAAAGTGTTGCTGGAGTGGAAGGAGCCCTGACATTCTTCACTCTTTATAGTCCTAGCTTGGATAATGAAAGGATGGTAATTGCAGTCATGTTCCTGATGCCTGCCAGCAAAAACAAACTTTTATAACTTTTCTTCCAGAGCAGTTGATGTAAAAGAAAATAGAAATCAACCAGCCTACCAATTAGCATCACTCAAGTTGATTGCTGTTTCTGCCCAAGCTGAAGAAAGTCAGCTAAGTAAAATCTTGAAACAACACATAACCCCTGGGGTACTGAACTCTTATCATTGTCCTTAAAGATAGAGACTTTGGAAAGATTCTTGGCGGATATGCACCATACCATTACATAGGGCGCATTTCAAAGATTAGCCCTGGTGGAGGGTGAGTTACTGGGATTATACAAAAGCCCCAGGGTCACCTGAGCCAATTAAAAGCAATCCTAACATAATATTATTTTTTAGCATTCCATTTTCTCTTTGACTCTCCTTACCAGGAGAGGAGAAAGAATTGTCTTCTGCCAATACAGATTTCTTCATTTTGAAAAACAAATTGAGCCACTTTTTCTCTACAGGATTGGTTTAGAATGATGGAGTAAATTCTAGAAATATAACATGTACCCCAGGAAACACTGAAAATTCAGTACTGGAAATAGATAAGACCACAAAGCCATTCTTCATTCAAAGATAACACTTCTCCAATCTCTTGGAGACTCCTAATTTCAAATGTTCTGCTTTGTTATTCCTATAAACTGATAAAATGTCCTGAATAATCCTTTATTTCTCACTTTAGTCTGTACCTCTCAGATTGCTTATTTCCTGCTCCTTGTGACATAAAAATCTTTTTTGCATACAATAGGTTCTATCAGTTTTTGAGAAATTGTCACTGTAAAATTGTTCCCTGATGTTGTCCAAAAGTTTTATTTTTATCCAAAAGTTTGACCACAGGTTGTGCATTTTAAGAACAGTTCTGGTTTCAGTATTCTGCATTTTTGCTATCACATATTCAAACCATGCATTAGTTCAACATACACTAAACTTTTGTTTACAAAAATATTGCACTTCTTGCTCTACCCACATGCTAACTATATAATCATTGCTCTGAAATGGCCACTTAACAGTATTCAGGCCTTTTAGAGATGAAACTGAGCTCCATTAAAATTTCTAAGAAGCCAGAATCAACACCACTGAATTTCAGGGGGACAAAACAAATAGTAATTAAGTCACTTGTTTATAGCAATATTTCTTTGTTTCAGAAAATTAAAAATCATGTTCAAACATATTTGGGAAAACCTTCAAAGCAGGTCTCTCTGTGAGGGCCTAAATGCATATTAACACGTTAAAGGCTTAGGAAAGATCTCCAATAAAGAAATCTGTTTAACTCTGTTGAATTCAGTGTTCTCTAAATTTATTGACCTATACGATGCCCTTTAAAAATTGCATAAAATCAATTACTATCTCAGGTTAGATATGGAAGAAAATTATGATCTATAATTACCACAGAGAAGAAAACGGTATTAAATAAAGCACAAAAATTTAGGAGACAATCCGATAAGTTTGAGTGCAGATTGAATATTTGATATCAAGTTATATTAATTTTTAAAGTATATTAATGAGATTCTGGTTCTGTGAGTTTCTTTCCTTGACTACTGCATGCTGAGATACTCATAAATAGAATGATTTAATGTGTAAGGTTTGCTTCAAAATAATTCAGAGCAGGGTAGCTTACAGTAGTTGGCTACATGATATAATGGACATTAGCTGATAACTTCTTTTTTAAAGGACATGGGTATGTTTTTAAAATTTCAACATTGGAGGTCTGAATGCCTGAGCATTGTTTTGATGACACGAACTTGCTTCACAAAGTGTCTCCAAGTAACTTCTAATTTATACAATGGTAGTATAAATTATCCTAGGCAGATACTGACACCTGAACTAGGAGTGTTCCTCAGCACCCAGATCAAGCCTGCTATCATGCAATAAACACCTGCTGATTCATAGTTAGCTTTCTGTTGCCGTGACAAAATACCTGAAATAAGTCAACTTAAAAGGAGCAAAGATTTATTTTTGCTCATGATTTCAGAGGTTTCAGTCCATGATCACCTGGGTCCATTGGTTCTGGTCCTGTGGTGAGGCCAAACATCATCATGGTGGGAATCATGTAGTGGAACAAAGTTATCTCACTCATGGTGAACAGGAGGCAGAAAGAGAAGGAAAGAGAGGAAGTGTCCAAGGACAAAATATACCCTTTAAAAGCATACCCATGGTGATCTAACTCTTCCATCTAGGCCCCACCTCCTAAAGTTTCTGCCACTTCCTAACAGTGCCACCAGCTGAGGATGAGACTTTTAACACATGAGCCTTTTTGGGATAGTCCAGTTCCAAACTGTAACATACACTGACATGGTGGAGTAGCAAGGGTATTCCTATGCATTTCACTTATTCACAGACTATTTCCATGGACGGGACTTGTCAGGATTCTAGAATCTTAAGCTAGTAGCCTAAAGATCTTATTTATCAAATTATAACATGGAGTTTCAGAGACTCTGTGCCAATCATCAGCTGGTAGTCTGAAAGGGCAGGGAAACAGCCCAATGAGCATCACCGCAGAGGAGCCAATCAGCTAGATGTTGCTTGGGACCGCTGTGAGCCAATCATTAGCCAGCAACTGGAAGTTCACTGGCAGCTGGAAGTTTGCTGGGGCCCCTTTGGCTGTGGCTCTCAACAACTCTGTACAACATGGTGAGCTATAGGGGCTCAGCAGTACCATGGAGCAAAGGACATAGCTCTGGAGTCAGATTATTGGATTTGCCCCTAGATCACCATTCCCTGGTTGGGTGATGTTGAGCAAGCCATTTAAGTTCTTTTGCTGTTTTCTCACCTATGAGGAATAGAGCTGTTGTGGCTTTTAAATCAAATAGTGTAATATACAGTACAGAATAACTATTTAATAATTACCTATAATCATCATCATAATAATCAATATCCTCTTTCTGGCTAGTTAGTGGCAAGGGATGGCTCACATTCTGAATAACTTCCAGTTGAGTCTCTGGGGCCCTCGTTTTTCAGCAAAGAATAAGAAGCAGTTGCAAAATTAATAGAAATATGCAGCTTTTAAGCAATTACAACAGTTTAAGTAAAAAATACTTCTGTATCTCCAAGAATTCAAACACCTCAAAATTTCCATTATGGTATGAGCTCTTTGGAATATAGAAAGATTGTCCACATTTTAAGACACAGAAAGTATGAGGTTCTCTTAGACTGAGGAATGACAGCTGATATACATTAAATACCACCATCAGGGGAAATTTCTATGTGGAATAAAACTTAGAAGAATATTCTTTTGGTCAGAAATGGAAAAAAAATTGGAGTTCTTGTAAGAAATCCAAAATAAAAACACTGTTTTGTGTTCATAAATGTAGATTTATATCTCTGAATATTGATATCTTTTTTCTTTATTAAATTATTTATTTATTCTAATTTGTTGTACATGATGGAAGAATGCAATTCATTTCACATTACACATATAGAGCACATTTTTTCAAGTCACTGGTTGTACACAAAGTATTTTCACACCATTCATGTGAATATTGACTTCTTTCTCAAAACGCTTGGCAGTGTCTGGATTGATTTGTTTCTGTGGATTTTACTTAATATTGAATAAATATACATATTTACATATATTAAATAGAATATACATTCTATTTAATATATGTACTCTGTTTAATATATATATATAATAGAACATATATAAAATTAATAGAATATATATTCTGTTTAGTATTTAAATTATGAATATATGTGTTTTCTTCTATCATTGATATAAAATATTCATTTTATTGAAATATTTTCATATCTACATTAATAAATATGTCTTCCTTTTTAAGAAAGTATTTATTGTTTAAATAAGAAGGGCAAAATTTATCACCCCCATCTAGTTTGTTGAACAAAAAATGGGT